CCAACATCTCCCTGCCCCCTCACACATACTCACACCCACCCACACCCATAAACCCCCCCCAACCCCATTCCCTAACTTACTTTGGACAGCGCTGGGGGGGCAGCAGGAGCACCACAGAGATGCTCTGGCCGAAACCAGAGCATCTCTTCTGGAGGACTGACTCCTATGTTTACTGACCGTGCCTTGCCCCGCTGTCCTGTGGAGTTGTTGTTTTTGACCCCTCGATATCCAGGGGTCCAATTTGGCTCCACCCTGCAAACTTGCAGCACAGGAAACATTTTTTCATTCCCACACGTGCCTCTTCCCATGTCTTAAAGGGGTTTGAGATGCAGCAAGAGATATGTGCGCACTCTTGTGGACATGCCCTGTTGGGTAGCTGACATAAAATCTAATCACTTTAGTGCTTTGATATGAATACTGAATATAACCCATGAGGTAGAGGTCCAGTAGATAACACCTCTCCATTTCATCTCCTGATGCTGTTGTGGAAATCAGTGTGTCCACTACGCATCATGCAGCAGGACTAGATTGTTGGCAAAATATGAGTTTAACAGTAACCCAAGGCAAAAAATCCTGTTACTGGACTAAGTTGCTTCATGAAAACAAGTGGCATATCACTTCAGATGTGCCCTGTTGCAGAAGTCTTTGAAAAGGACCCTTTGATGACCTTACCTTAGAGGAATGGAACCTTAACTGCAAATTGTAATTTTAAAATGCTTTTTTCATATTATTGATTGATGGTAAATTCTGTTCCTGAAGTAAGAACAATTGAAAAAAACAAGCAGATAACTGAAAATTAAAATCAAGGACGGTTCTGATCTGTCTTCAGTATTATGTGAACCATACAAATGTAGGTAGAGGAGAATGTAGATAAAAGATTCCCACTGCATTGCATTTATAAAAAATGCAGATAGTAGTACTAAGCATATTGTGCAAAGTTATACACTTGTGTCACCTTTCACTATCTATAACTCAGCCATTTTATAGTAGGATTGTTGTATGAACTGGCCACTTGAATGTATAACTGCCTTACGATTTGTTTTTCCTACTCTTCTTCCATCCTATCGTCCATTTTTGAATCATGAGTGTGAGTGTTTCTACACAGATGTAATGAGCAGTTAGGGCTTGCTTGACCCCCATTGAAGATAAAAGAATTCCAAAAAGGATAAATATGGTTTCAGGGTTTTTTGTACACTTAAAAAAAATAATAACTTTCCCAAATGGTTTGGATAGGGATGATGCTGCCTGAGGCAGGGGGCTGGATTAGATGACCTCTGGAGGTCTGTTCCATCTTGACTTCTCTAGGATTTTCCTTAGGTACAATTAAAAGATATGTTCACCTAGGTGAACACCTCAAGTCATCTTCTCTTCTGGATGTATTGGAATGTACTATTAGCCTTACTGGCAATTGTGAGTGCTATTCAGTAAGTTTACACATGCAATTAATGGGTGCCACATTTACACTTGTGCCTGGGACCACAACACATTGAGCTGAGTCAGAGAAGCTCCGGCCGGCAGGGAACCTGTGGGGTCAGCCTGCCAACCCAGGGCTGCTCTGACCTGGCTCAGCATGCTACGGAGGGGCCGGCTGTGGCACAAGGGTGCTCCAGTGTAGGAATAGCCAGCAGCAGCCATCGCACTGAAGCACCCTCATACTCCAGCCAGCACCCATCAGTGTTTACTAAAGAACTCCACCTCAAGATGGTACTTGTAAATATAAGTACTAACCTACAGCAGAGTTAATTAATTTACTGCAGCTTAATAGAGCCACATGTGTAGACACAGAGACTTTACTGCAGCGCTAATTAGGCAGCACCACAGTAAGCATCTCATGTAGAGGTGCCCACTGACTTCAGTAGAATCATGACAATTTATACCAGTTAAGTGGGGAGGGGTGTAAAAATACATATGCATATATGTAGGTAAGTACACATGTATATATCTTTGCTAGGATTTAATCATACATACGATACATTTCAGATCAGAGTAGGTTTCTTGGACAAGCTCTGTATTCCCCCAGCTGGAACTATTTTATGAAAGGCCACAATATCTGTGTTATAAAATGTCACTAGAGTGTGTGTGTGTGTGTGTGTGTGTGTGTGTGTGTATAATTCAGTACAGTGCCCCTTTTAGAACCGTCGCCTTTAGGAACAGAAAGAGTAAGTGCTTGACTCTGTTGAAAGTCATTGAAGATGAGTGAGGAAATAATCCCACTTTCTGAAATTTATAATTGCCAGCTGCCCTACTTATTACACTGTAAAACACAATGGACAGTCCTAGTGGGTGTCACTCCAAGCATTCAGGTTCAGTTAAAGCTGATTTCAGTTAAAGCTGGATCTGAACTTCTGAACTCAGTCCTGTCTTGGGTTTGTCCTCCTGCCTCTGTGACAATCAGCAAGGATAGTGTCACTGTCATCTTTACCTTTCATGGTGCAACATTATGTCACTGTGCATTGAGATGAACAGATATCTTCATCAGTGATTTGGATGTGGGGGTGATGAGCTCATTGGCCAAGTTCACAGACAACACCAAGTTATAGGGAAGCATGGTCATGCTTGAAGATAGGCTGCAGATACAGGTGGACCTAGACAGGCTAGCAAGTTGGGTGGATCAGAACCAGATTAAGTTTAACATCAAGAAATTTAAAGTGCTCCACTTGGGGATGAACAATCCCCTACTCACCTACAGGCTTGGCAATGCCAATCTGACCAGCACTATGAATGA